TAAAACAGCAGAGGGAGACATTTTATAGATTTTATTTTCTCTTTTCAAAGTTTCAAACTCACTCAGTAAATCTTCTTTTGTCTTTTATTCATTTTAATTATAAAAAATAAAAAAATAAAACATTTCTTGTAGCTTTATTATTTTATCCATTTCTACAAATAAATCCAGTTGGAAGATGATTTTATGTTTTGACAGGTTTTATTCTGAAACTTCGACCCAAAGTGCACTTTAACAACCAGACAAGTCAGGAAACACCTGAGATTAATTCATATTAATTATTGTCTCCTTGTCATTCCACCTGTTTATTCTCATGTTTCTACTACAATATCTTTAAATATCCGTGTACTTTGAATCTAAAAATACATATGTTATAGAAAAAGCTCTGAAATCAGTTTTTATGATTCTTAATACAGTTTGTATTTTTAAAAAACTTTGTTTTTATAGTTCATAAACTTTCTTAACTTTATCAAATTGAGATGAAAAGTTTTATTTTTGTAAAGAAAAATAAAGATTTATACTTAAATAAATGTTTGCCCTGTTTTATATTTAATTGTGTTGCAAAGTTTAGGTTAAACAAATGGAATCACTTTTTTTACTGTTTAGCTCATTTAAGCTTTTCAGTTGGTTGCTGTACTTCATTAGATAAATTTAGCTGATCTGCTTTTAGCTGTTTTTATGTGTTTAGTTTCTAATATTTCTGCCTCTACAGGTTTTCAGCAGTTAAAGACCATTAAACAGACTTTGTTTTCATWAAAACCTGGATAATTTTTCTAACAAAATAAGAGTCTTTGTGTTTTTGTTAATTTAACACTTTGAGTTAATTGACATCCAGAGTTGGAGATAATTCACAGAGTAGATTTTATCGGTGTCAGAGAGTTAAATGAGCTCTGCCCTTAAAAACAGGATGCTGGGTAGCCTTGTTGAAATGTTCAGTAGTGTAAAAATAAGTTGTTCATGTTGGTTAGTTCATGTTTAAGTCTGTGATTGGCTGTAAATCAACGAGTTACTTCCTGGTGTCTGAGGGCTGACTCTTGAGTAGTGTTAATGTGACTCTACCATGGAGTTATACAGAACTACTCMATCTGTGGACCAATAAACCATTTGTTGAATTGAACTCCCTGGGAGTAGCATTTCAGACTTTGCTGTGCATGTCTTGCAGACTCAGGCAGAGAGCTGAGGCCATCTTCTGTCGAGAAGTTGGGGCGGTGAGCAGCAAAGGGTCGAAGGGCAATAGTCATGGAGGCTGGCTGTTGTTTTCTTTTCAGGCACCAGTATGATAGCGGGAATGATGGCTTGCTTCAGGGAGTTGATGTCAGTACAGTGGTGAGCCGGTGTTTATACATTTCATTGTCCTGCAGACCTGTTTCAAGACTCAGCGTTCATGTCTGTTACCAAACTATCTCATGAACCGTTGGACCGATTTGACTGACATTCAGGATGGAATCACTGGATGAACTGATACCAGAGCCAGTCTGGATGGAGGTGGCACTCTGGACTCAAAAGATCTGCCTACCAAAGCTGTCAGCTGCAGCGGTGCTGAGTCTGCACAACCACAGTGAGAGAGAGTACAGTTACCCACCAGGTGGTTTTGTAAAGGTATCTCAAGCTGAGATGCATGCAGTCCACCAGTGTGCAGCATCTCTCAAAGACCTGCAGAGTACAAAGAAGGAAATATTCATCCTAACAGCCAAGCTGCTATTCGAGCTCTCAATTTTATTTATTTATTGAAATTGTTTTTATTTCTTTTAATTTTGTCTGTTTGAAATTATTTGTTGGGGTTGAAATTATTATTGTTTTCTGATTGGTTAAACTTATTTTTCTTAATTTTTTTAATTGAAACTGAAAAAAACCCTAAATTATCTCCATACATATGTAACATTTAGCCTCATATAACTCATTAAATCTAAACAAAAATTTATAAAACATATTTCAACAAACAGCAGGAGATTTATGTGAATCAACAGCTGCAAAATATTATCTTTTGTTTATAGGCAGAAAAATAATGTCCCATTGGGTAACATAGAGGGGGTGGGGCTAAAAGGAAACTGTCAACATTAAATAGTATTTAAGAAACATTTACTTCAATTATAAAAATCAGACCAGAAATACTATAGGCTCTTTAATTTTTTATAAATTATAAACATGTATGTCACACTGAGGYTGCTATTTGTGCCGCAGTGTATTCTGGGTAAATGATGTAAACTGGCTGATCTGTTGTGAGCATGCTTTGGACGAGTTGGATGTCTGACATTTTAAATGAAACCAGAGAGCATTGTCAGAGAGGAGAATGTAGAAATGACTCAGACTGAAACAGAAAAAGATGATATGATGATGAGAATAACAGAGCTGCTTCAGGTTAAGACTCATCTCAGATTTAGCCTTTTTAGCTTTTGCGTTAGCTCCCAAGCTAATAAAACTAATACCATATTTTTTGTGTAAATTGTGAATAATAAGAACCGCTCCAGAGCTAATCCTGAGGTGTATATACTGTGTAGGTCAATGACCTATTGTTTAGGGTTAAAAGTTATCGTATATGGCATTAGCTCCAGCGCTAATAAATATAGCCTGATGGCATTGATTCTCCAGCTTAAATCTACATGTTGTTAGCTCCAGAACTAATAAAATCATTGCTGTATTGTTCGTATATCCACTGTAATAAAAGCTTCCAAGCTAAATAATAAACATATATTATCTTGAGCTATGTGAGATTAACTACAGAGCTAATTTACTAAACATTATGTTTAATCATTTTCACCCACATATTGTTGTGCAGAAACAAATACAAGATATAACTTTGTTATTGTTAACCTTGACTCTTTATGTTTTGGTCTCATCTGCAACCTATTTTACATCATTGTTCCTAGAACGCATTGCATTAGTAAAAAAAAAAAAAAAAGAAGGCAATTTGCTTAAGTTAAAAATGTAATGAACATAACACAAACAACTTTTAGTAGAATAGAGAAGCAACAATGTATTAAGGACAACAAGTAGTCAGAGATCCTTTTAAAGTCTGCCCTGGAACCAGCAACCAGGAGGCGCTGTCCTCTGGGGCAGTGGTTCCCAAACTTTTTGTCTTCTGACCCACAAAATATCCATGGCAAAAACTTGTGAC